GGCGGCGGCGGCGGTGGCGGGCGACCCCCCCGTCTCTTACCGGGGCACGAACTGGTTGGCGGGCCTCTTGGGCCGGTACTCGGGGTGCACCATGAAGAGCATGTGGGGGAAGCCGGTGCCGAAGTAGGCGCCGTCGGTGTGGTGGTGCCGGGACGACTTGGGGGTGTAGACGTCCATGCACTTGGGGCAGTACAGCTTCACCATGGCCTCCCCGGGGATGTCCGACAGACCTGGGGGGGGGGAGAGGTCAGAGAGCACGAGAGAGCACGAGAGAGAGGAGGAGCAGAGGGCAGAGGGCAGAGAGCAAGAGAGAGCGAGAGAGGAGGACACTCCAGTTCACATGCTGGATGGGTACTGACCAGGATCCAGAGGGCAGAGGGAGGAGGAGCAGAGGGCAGAGGGAGGAGAGCAAGAGGAGGAGGAGCAGAGGGAGGAGGAGCAGAGGGAGGAGAGCAAGAGGAGGAGCCAATGACAGAGGCCAGAGAAAGGAGGAGCAGAGGGCAGAGGGGGGAGGAGGAGCAGAGGCCAGAGGGAGGAGATCAAGAGGAGGAGGAGCAGAGGGAGGAGGAGCCAATGACAGAGGCCAGAGAGAGGAGGAGCAGAGGGCAGAGGGGGGAGAGCAAGAGGAGGAGGAGCAGAGGGAGGAGGGAGGAGGGGCAGAGGCCAGAGGGAGGAGACCAAGAGGAGGAGGAGCAAATGACAGAGGCCAGAGAGAGGAGGAGCAGAGGCCAGAGGGAGGAGACCAAAAGGAGGAGGAGCAGAGGGAGGAGGGAGAGAGGAGGAGCCAATGACAGAGGGCAGAGAGAGGAGGAGTTGAGGGCAGAGGGCAGGGAGAGGAGGAGTTGAGGGCAGAGGGCAGGAAGAGGAGGAGTTGAGGGCAGAGAGAGTGCGAGACAGACAGACGGAGCAGGTGGAGGGTGAGCAGAGGGAGAGGCCGGGGTGAGGAGGGAAGATGGAGCAGAGGACGGAGAGAGAGAGACAGAGAGACGAGCAGAAGAGGCGCACGGACTCACCGATGGGCAGCATGGGCTGGTTCTCACAGTAGACCCGGGGGCAGTAGCCGAAGTCTCCCTGCTGGTACTTCTCCAGCTGAGACAGAGAGAGGGGGACTCAGAGAGACAGCACACGCCCGCGCTGGCGGAGGGACAGCCCCGCACAGACAGAGACAGAGACAGAGAGAGAGCGTGGACGAGTACCATCTGAGCGATCCCGCGGTTGGTGAGGATGTACCGAGCGTGGATCAGCCCGTACAGCATCTCCGCCGCCTGCTCTATCAGGTCACTCTGATTGGGGTTGTCTTCCAGCTCCTCGTCTGAGACACAGAGAGAGACACAGGGGTTACTACATC